TTGGAAGCATCCCCTAGGGAATTGTCAGTATCATGGGCGCCTCATGTGTATGATCCAATTCCAGATTCCTTATCTCGAACTGTGAAAACCAAGCAGAAGAGTTCTAGGAAAGACAAAGACAGAGACAAAGAAATCAACAACTACAAGAACAAGGGAAAGAAAGGTCAAAAGGGCAATTGTCGTGGTAAAGACAAGCAGCTTGGCAAAGCTGGTGGGAGGAGGTCCGATAGGGGGTGTAATAGAAATCAATATACTTGGGACACTCCTGATGAGTTTTAATGTTGGTAAATCGTAAAAATACAGTCAAAAATAGAAAATGTCACATAGGATTGTGGAATGTTATTTCAGTGTTTTATAAAATCATCTATAGGGAAGTTAAGCAATGCCTCTGACTTGGGATGAAGTTCAATTCTCTAAGCCCAATTACTTTGCAGCAGTCTTCAACTTTTAAATTCATCTGTTCGAGTGACCAATTTGAGCATTCTTCTTCTTTACATGAAGATTTGCTGATTTGGTTTATCATTCAATAGTCTTTGAGGTGAACTAGAATACAACTGCAGCTAAGAGTTAATGATCAGTTTGTGCATTATTGTTATCAGTGTGGCTGTCTAGTATATTTCTTATTTCTAGACTCATTTACAATGCAGTAGTCTTTGGGATGGGTTGGTATCTAATTGCAGATCTGATATAAATTTTACAAATTTTCTAATAGTTTGTGCATATTTATTTTTGTGAAGTTCTATGGTTCAATTGATGACCTAGGATACATCTTGGCCTCGGATGTGGCCTACCTAGTTTGCAAGTTCCGATGGCTAATTTTAAACCTAGGCCACCTCATTTGCTAAGCTAACTCTGCCTTGATTGTCGCCAACTCAGCTTGAGCCCTTGCAATATTGCTCAGAGGTAGCCATTGGAAAGAAGTTGAACCATACCAAGGAACTAGTCCAAGTCTAGTTTTGTTCCAATAACTTCAAAATACTGTTAAGCTACGAAATCAATTACAATGTTCAATTAGTTCTGTTAAGCTACGAAATCAATCTGGAACTCACTTGACAATTTGGCTTCCTATACATAGGGGTGTGCATTAACCGGTCCAGACCGTATTTTAGACCTGAACCGGACCGGAATGGGCCGGTCCGGACCGGACCGGTATAAACAGGTCCGGGTTTCGGTCCTTAGAATTCTATGATTCCGGGTTTCCGGTCCGGTCCGGGTCAAACCCGGAAAAAACAGGTCCGGAACGGTTGACCCGTTAAATTAATACTCCTTAAAATATATGCTTCGGTCCATTGATTAAACTTGGAAATTAGGTTCGCTGCTACACCGTCTACACTGCCAACATACTTCGTGGCAAAGAGTATTTTAGTTTATATTCTATTATATTAGTCTTTTATATTCTATTTAGCAAATTTGCAGGTGATAAATGAATGCAATTAGTCTTTATTTAGACCGCAGGTTTGCCTTGTGCCATTGTGCAGGATCTACCGAGTACAAATCATGAATTCATGGATGTAGTTTATGAGTAGTTTTTATTTAGTCTACTATGTTCTCTCTCTTTTTCACCGTTAGTCTATTATATCCTATTTGGCAAATTTGCATATGAGATTACTTCTTAAAGTTTATAAATGAAAGAAATAGTTATTTAAAAAACCGGGTCAATTATGGTTAAAACCGGACCGGAAAATTCAGGTCCGGGTCGGTCTGGACCGGTTAGTATCTGGTCCGGTCTTCGGTCCTTATAAAATTGAGATTCCGGTTCCGGTCCAAACCGGTTCCGGTCCGGTCCGGTTTTGGACCGGTGCACACCCCTACCTATACATGTCTACTATTCTTGTTCCACCCTTTCAATGACCTAGACCTGCTTCGTCTAGAATTTGACTGCTTTCACCTTCGATCTTATCAATGACTAGTGCTGGACTCGGGCCGGGCGGCCCGGCCCGGAACCGGCCCGGCCCGGTTACTGTTTGGCCCGGCCCGGCCCGGGGCCCGGTGGGTCCACCGGTTCGGTTCGGCCCGGCCCGGCTGCTGGGCGGTTCGGGCTCGGACCCAGGTTTTGGTGAACCGGCCCGGCCGGTTCGGGCACGGTCCGGGCCGGATTTTTTTTTTTTTTTTTTTTTTTGAATTTTTTTTAAGTTTTAGGTTGGATTAGGTATTTTGGGCCATTTGAGGTGGTTTGGGATGGTTTGGGGTTGAGGGGGAGGGGTAGGGGATTAAATAGGAGAACAAAAAAAAAAAAATTAATTGGGCCGGTTCGGCCCGGCCCGGCCCGGTTTGGCCCGGAACCGTGACCGGAACCGGCCACCGGCGGTTCGGGCTCGGGCCTCCCCTTTCCTGGCCCGAGGCCCGGCCGGGCCCAGGCCCGAACCGGGCCCGAACCGGGCCCGAACCGGCCCGAGTCCAGCCCTATCAATGACCTTGATAAGAAGTATTTCGAATACGGATTTACCAATGTAAAAATAAAGAAGTTGTAAACCATCACCTCAATAAGCTGTATGATCAGACCTTTTGGTATGAGCTCGGAGCTCACATGACCATACGGGGAGTCGGATCATAAAAGTTTGAGCTCACATGACCTTAATTTTTTTTTATTAATTACAAAAGTTTGACTTTATACTTTCTCTCTGACTTTTCAGAGTAATATTCCTTTCATCATAAAAGAGCGGCTTTATATTAAAATCGAGAACGCATACAAGACGGCATTCAGACATATTTTACAGATCCAATCATGAATCCTAGGAGTAGATATAGAGCCCGTTTGGTAATACCAAAATCGGCTGATCTGGCTGATTCTGCTAGAATTTATGAAGTTATGGCTGAAGTGGCTGCATTGGCTGATTCTGCTGATTTAAGAAAAAAATATTTTGAAAATATATTTTATTAATAAAATAAAGAAAAAATTATATGTAAAATAGCTAAAATGATCCTCTACAGTAACTTCAGCCAATGCAGCCGGAAAAGTAACTCTAACCTTACTTTTTCTGCTTATTACAAAATTCAACGCGTGAAAGCAAAAGTTGCGTGTTTGGTGAAAAAGTTGGCTAATCAGCCTTACAAGCCGAAAATGAGGGTTGCCAAACGGCCTCATAGAGTCAATCACCTCATATAAAGCAACTTAACTCACTAAACCTGAAATTGGCAAATTTAAGCCTAAAACGAATGGATCTGAAACCCTGCCTATCAAAAGAACACAAAAAATCCAACACATTCAAATCAAATCTACTCGGACAAAAACAAAAACAAGTATTACTAAAGAGAAAATAATATTGAAATAAAATCTTTTCACAAAATTCTTCCTGGTATGGAGGTGGTTCCGAAGGAGGACTAGCTCTTGCAATATGGGTGAATACCAACTCCACCACCATAGGAGCGACCGACCAAGGTTGCACGATCCAACACCGAAACAAACTCCCAACTGCAACTCGTTCATCCGCCAACGTTATCTCCTCCGACGTAGCTGCAATCCCAAGCATTAGAACACCTAAAATCGGTATAATTTGTCACTTCAACCTCATATTGATATGAGAGGCGGAAAATCTCAACCCCTACAAAGAGGGAGACATGTTTTTTCATTTGCAGTTGTGTAAGTACACGAGATATATAACACAAATACCTTATGAAAGTTTTGCACAAAAATGTTAAATATATGAAACTTGATACTTTTAATATCTTTGTGTTTGTGAATTACTTTAAAAATACATTTTTATAAAGATTATTATTTATTAGCATAAAATTAATGCCCAATTTAATTAAATTCAATTTCAGGATGTTAGTTTATCACCAATATTTGAATTTAATTTAGTACATATATTTGTACATTTGTGTGGATCTAGTAACACTTGATCTTTTTTATCTACTCCGTAATATTATTTCATATCTCATCATGAATAATTATTAGTAAAGAAGTTGCTCAAAATAAGACAGAAGATAGACAAAATTCTTAAACAAAACAAAAAAATTCTTCCCAAAATATGACTTATTCTAAAAAGGAGTGTATAGTTTTTGTGAAAAAAAAAAACACTCATTTGAAAACATTCTCTATGTTTTGGTCATATTTTAGTGAATTTCCCCTTATTTATATTATATTTTATATTATCCTATTTTTCAGATTCACCGCTCTTGAATATAATGCAGTACTATGCTTTCTTTATGTTTTAAAATACTACGGGGTAGAAATTTTATTTTTCTATTTTTACCTTTCGTCTAATTTAGTTCTTCACTTTTTTATGTTTCTATTTTTATTTTTTTACATATATTTATTGGGATTTTAGTATTTTATTTATAACTTGTAACTATTAATTAATTTTTAACACAACATCTTTTTTTATCATTTAACATAACATCTTATTAATTATGGAGTTATTAAATGATTTATTAAAATAACAAAGTTTCAATTATTCTAACTCCCCGTAGATTTCCATTTGATTTCCAGAAATTAAATTTTATTTTAGAACTACATCTAGGATTTTCCTTAAAAGAAATACTACGTACTACATCTAGGAAAAGTCTCAATTAATTCAATAAAAGAAAAGTGGGGGAAATAACGAGGCGAGGTGCAAAATTGACAAACATTGTCGTCACGAATGACTGTTTCATGTAATCATCATGTCCCTTAAATTGATCACCCATTTCTCGTTTCGGGGTTTAATGCACCAAATCCCCTCGTGATATAGAAATTCGACGCATTAGTCCCCTGTCATTTGAAAAATATGTCAAACCCCCTTGTGTTTTAATTAATCATGCACAAAATCCCTTTTAAAAATAAATTTAACGATTTGGAAATCACTTTTCCTAATATTTTGATTGAATATGCAAGTAAATTTTTCAAAATCTCTAAATTATATAAAAAAGTACCATTTTTCTTTTATTTGACAGTTGATTTTATTTATAAAAGGAGTTTTGTACATGATTAATTAAAACATAAGGGGGTTTCATGCATTTTTCAAATCACAGACATTAATGCGGCGACGGTTCCTAGGTGAAAAGTCCAAAACTCAAAACCTAATAATAGGGTTGTTTGGAAGTGATTCTGCTTCTGCTTCTTTTTTAAAGCAGAAGCAGGTTTTTAGTTTTTAGAAGCTGGTCACCCCACTTTCATCCAAACGCCTCCAAGATCCAAACACCCCTAGATCGGATTCTCGTCTGTGCCAGTCTCACATCATCTTCTGGTACTGCTGATTTTACTTCTGTAATTCCTTGTTTGTAACGCAAAACCACGCCTTTTCCGGTTCCGACTAATTGTTAATCTTTACACAGTTATACCCACACTAGGAGTGGTTTCAGCTCGGACCTAGTTCTGGGAGGAGAAGAACTGAGCAAGGCATCTATTAGGGGGAATTCGAGATCCATGGTGAAGGAAACCGAATACTATGACGTTCTAGGCGTCAGCCCTACCGCTACAGAAGCGCAGATTAAAAAGGCATATTACATTAAGGTACCAGTCTGAAATTCAGTCAAATTCTTGAATCTCTTTGAACTTCTCACAACTTTGCATAGTATCAGCCCACTGGGTTATTGAACAATGTGGTTGAAATGTATAAAGTAGCAGAATTTGCTGGATATGTTGCTGAGTTGTCTATAAAATACTCCATATATCTTTAATCACATCAAAGAAAACAGTAGTTTGCCTAAATGGAGCCGAAATTGTCATTTTCTTAATTTCTTTTCTTTCATCAATTTAAGCAATCCATGTAAACTGGCTACTTTTCGTAGGGATTTAATCAGTCCAGAAATTACTCAGTTTCAGTATAAAGTGTACTAGGTAAGGTTGATAAGATGATTAGGTAAGTGGAATAACATTGTACTGAACGAGCACATAATCAATCTATAAAATACAACAGAGCACTTGACTATAATGAACCAATAACCAGTAAGCTAAGGTTAAAGATAAGTTAAAGAAAAAGAGATGAGCATGTTGAAATTGGCATAAACTTTAGGCAAGCAGGTCACATAAAAAAGGAGAAACCTAGGTGATTTTAAATTTTTAAGGAAGAATAAGACACTCAAAACCAAAAAGGGAGACAGCTGGATACAATAGAAGGCGCTGGAAAAGTGGAAACCATGGTTGTTTTGTATCAATTCTAAAGAAGTTTTAACTCCATTGTAGGGCTTTGTGAATTGTAGGTCAAATATTATTGCGATAAAACTAAATTGAATCTATTACCCTAAGCATAGAACATGAAACTGCCCATCTTTAAGGGGTTAAGGGTAATATTGTTGTTGTTGATCCACAACAACAACAATATTACCCCAATGCCGCAAAGGCTCCCCCAACGGTGGGGTAGGGGGGTCAGATGTACACAACCTTACCTCTGTACTAAAGCACAAACAGACTGTTTCCGATTCATATCATTTTGGTCCCCAAACTAATAAATCTATCATTTTAGTCTTTATTTTATGTAGTCTGTATCAATCTGGTCCTGCTGTCATTTTTTGCCATTAAATTGGCCGCCCGCTGATTTTTAACAAATGTTTTAAGACCATTACTTAATTTAATTTACAATCAGGGAAAATTCCTTAGGGCCTGGACTTTATTTTTATAGTGAAAAGGTCCAAATAGTCTCTTCTACTAATTATAATCCATCACTTAAGCCCATACACTAAAAGGTAATTACTTTAAAAATCAATCAATTCGGTCATTTTCCCGGTATGACTTGTTATATCATGTTACTTTTTGAAACAGATCTAAGAGAATCGTTAATGATCGAAAAATAGGAAGAAAAACTATAAAAAATTCATAATATAAAAATCTATATTTTTCTGTTTTGGAACTATTTGTATATTCTACATCTTTTTAAAAGTTTTACATTTTCATTTATTATTTATTTTTTGGGTACTGATTTATTATTTTACCCGTTTTAAATTATTTTTGTATTCTGACATGTTTACCATTTTTATATTTCTATTTTTATATTTTTAAAATTTGTATGTTTTTTCATAAAATTTATCAATTATCTTAACTTTTTAGAAATGTCATCCTATAGAAATGGTTGGGTTGTTTGTGTTTTCAAAGTCACTGTGCTTTTCTGGCACTTTTTCTTGGTATGTGGGCTCAAGTGATGAATTTGACATATTTAAACCTTTTTCATGGGTCATCCGGAAACAATCTCTCATTCTCTCTGTGCTTTAGTACAGGGTAAGGCTGCATACATCTGCCCCCCCCCCCCCGGACCTACGTAGGTGGGAGACTTCGAGGCACTTGGGTAATGTTGTTGTTGATGATGATCTATTTAAACCTTTTCCCATTTGTACACGCTGTTAATGTCTTGAAAACAAACTGCTTTACATGTTTACATGACAATATATGAAACATTGGTCATCAATTTATTGACAAAAAATGGCAGGACTGTATTAATATGCAATCTATAAGATAAGAATTCAAATGATAGATTTATTAGTTTGGGGACCAAAATTATTTGACAGATGATATTTTAAGGGCCATTAATGCTTTTTACCCTACTTATTTTGAAAGAAAGAGAAAGTTGGGAATTTTTCTTTATTTCTTTGTCAGCAATTGTGCAACCTAGCACCTCCCTACCTCCAATGTCAACAACCTTAGTTACTAGACCCATGATTGACTGCACTATTACTGTCTTAAGACTCATAGGCCTTCAGTAATTGCAGTCCACTGTGAAAAACAATAATAGCTGCGGACACACTCCATGATGGGTTACTATTAGCAAACCCCATTGTCAGGGGCACCCTCATTAACTGTTGAAAAATAAATTTGAATTATAAACATGCTTTCTAAAGTGAAAAATAGAAGATGGAGAATGGGAAATGCAAATGAGATAAGGATGGAAAGAGTGCAAAATTGGAGGGCGAAAGTAAATCGTTCCAAATATGTTTCCCGTCTTTTGTTCACCTTTTTCAACATGCAAAATAAGTGTTTTTTGCCGCTTTTAAACAAACAACCATCTATGTTTAATGTGAAGTATCTTTGTACGACTTGATGAACATTGTGATTCCTTTAGAATTAGCTTTTATATTCCTCTTCACTTCCTTTCTTGGTTCAGGCACGTCAGGTTCATCCAGATAAAAATCCAAATGATCCTCAAGCAGCACAAAATTTTCAGGTGAGATTTTCCATTTAGGCACCTAGGCACCATATTTGTTTGGAATTTCCTTCTATAAATTTGGTTATGTTATAACTTATCCATCTATAATTCTTGACTCGTAGTTCTTTCAAGGAAAACAGGTGCATGTTTTCTACAGTCATTATGATCCAATTTGGGCTATTTGGCGCCAATACATTATTGTTTCTGTAATTTAGAACAAGGAAATGAAAATTTTACACCTTTTTCAGGTTTTAGGAGAGGCTTACCAAGTACTGAGCGATCCAGCCCAACGACAAGCTTATGATTCTTATGGGAAATCTGGAATTTCAACGTACTGTTCTTATTTTATGCGTTGTTGACAAGAATGTTTTTTCATGTTGCCAGGGATTTTTAGTTGCAAAGGGTTGTTAATAATTGCAGGGAGGCAATCATTGATCCTGCAGCAATCTTTGCTATGCTCTTTGGTAGTGAACTTTTTGAGGAGTACATTGGACAGCTTGCCATGGCATCAATGGCTTCACAAGATATTTTCACTGAAGGCGAGGAAATTGATGCTAAAAAGCTGCAGGAGAAGACGAGGGTATACTATATTACTATCTAATCCATATCAATTGTATTCCTTTATGATTTGCGACATATAGCGGCAAAGTATAGATGTAGACATATTTACAAATGCACACGTTTGCACGAAAACACACTCACAGTTATATCTCGGGCTAAAGAGCTCATTTGGCTTTAGATTATGCAATTTTTCATTAACTTATAGGTGTACTTACAAATACACATGTTTGGGCGAAAAAACCACATAGTATGAAGTGGTGTTTGATTTGGTATAATTGAATTTTTTAGAATTTTAAACATTTTAGATGTATGTCAATATATTAATTGGTATAATTGAATTTTATAGATTTTTGAACATTTTAGATGGTTGCGATTATATTAATTTTAGAGGACTAGTTGAAATGTCGATTACATATCTTTCTTAACCTTTTTTGTGTGTTTCTAACGAGTGTATATTTCTGCTGCTGTCGTCATGTAACCTTTTCCCACTGCAAGCTAGGCTGTTCAAAAAGAAAGGGAAGAAAAACTTGCTGAAGTTCTAAAAGATCGACTAAACCTGTTTGTACAAGGAAGCAAGGAGGAATTTAGGGCTCATGCTAATGCTGAAGTATCTCGGCTGTCCAATGCAGGTTATGTGCCATGCATTTTTAGCATCCAAGTCATCCAACTTGTTTTGACATCTTTTGGTCTTCATTGAAGTGTCATTTATCTTTTACACTTGATGTTTGAGCTCTATGGTGTCTATTGAATCTTCTTTATTCATCACCGTTACCATCTCTCTAGTCGCAACTAGTTAGGGTTGGTAACATGAATTAGGTCAATATGTCTAAATTAGTTAACACTCAAAATCCATAAAAAAGCTTATTGGCAACGTTTTGTGTTAGATAGCGGATAGCCCTCATGTGTACCCTTGTTACAAAGGAATAATGAGATGAAATATCAAAACTGCTATTTGGACGTGCAAGGGAAATATCATGAAATGACAAGGACTTGTGATATCTGCAATACTCATGGCTTATTATTTATTACATGATTTATATTTTAAAATTCATAGTTAATGTGCAAGGCCTATCGAGGCGCAGATGGTCTTTGGAGCCTAAGACATGAGGGCATGAGGCACAACCGCTTGAACATGACAGTAACGATAACAAACTCTAATGTTTTCGTTCTTATTAGAACTACAACTGTAACTAGCAAAATAATGCTCATGTCCACAAATTAACTAATGCTTATGTCAAAACAGTTTTTTGAAGAGAACAGATTATTATAAGAAATAAAACAATCCAATCATAAAAATGTAATTTGTCATTGTATCACATCAATTAGTTATCTCCATCGGCATTGAATTCCAATTACATCGGCATTAAATACCAATTCATCATCATCTTTCTGTGATAACTTTGAATGTTTGAGCTGTGGTTGGAAAGTTTTTAGTTGTGAAGGAATGAGGAACTCAGGAACCCAACTCTAAACCAGCCGCTAGCCCATTCTTTTATTTTTTTAAACTCAGTACTGTGTTGTTTGCCTGCATATGTCTCTATGCCTCAAAGGTGTGCCTGGGGCTATCAACAAAGCAAGAAAGACACATCTGTCTTTCATGGGCATTGTTCTCTGTCAAAATTAAACCCCTTGGCCTACTTGAGGTACCAGCTTTTGAGCCTGAAATGTTAAGCAATGCATTCCCTGCGCGAGCTTTTAACCACTATTATACAATTATTCAAACACACTAATGATGAGAATGCCTGAATAGTAAATAGTAATATATCATAGCATCATATAAAGGGCCTGTTATTCGCTTCCATCTGGCAATTGTAATACTCGTGTATCATCATTTAAGCTCTTAGGAATGATATATGAGAGTTTCAATTCTAGTATGTCTTTCGCATTATTTTTACTACATAGAACTATTGAAGAAATTGCTAGCATAAAACATATTGGGGACAGTTAACAGCTGTGTAGCACTGTAGCTTGTTTTAGTTCAAAATATCTTCACATTTTTTTACATATAGTGTTCATTTAACTTACACACAGTAAGTTTTTTTCATTTTTCCTGCAGAAAGTTAAATCAGCTCACTATTTTTTTTGACCTCATGTGAATCCTTTCAATGTTGTATTCTTATTTACACAGCAGGCTACACGTGTTCAACTTTGATATACATGGGAGAAAAATAAAGATAGACTACTGTAACTTTGTAAGCCCAATTGTTTTAAACACAAAGTTATGTAGTCTGAGTAGTGAGTGTTAGAAACAACCTAAAACATAGGTAAGGCATATGCAATAACCTAACACTATAACCAAACAAGTACATCAGTTCTGAAAAATCAATATCATACCAATCAACACACATTCATAAAAGAATACATTTCCCCAAGCTCAGCTAAGCTCCAATAAAACCTTACTTTCCCTCCCGATATACAAGCAAGTATGCCTCATCAGTAGTTCACTACTCACCTTCAGGGACAGAGGGTATGTTTATAGTTAATAGCTATGCATCTCATATTACCAAATTTACCTTCATTTATGATTTCACTATAACATTTAATACAAGATGTTTCCCATTCATGTTTTCCATTCACGTTTTCCAATGTGTTTCATATTTATTTTTGAAAGGTAAACTAGGAAAAAGACAATCAATGCTCCCGGTACTGGTTTTTCTAAATGGATAGATAAAAAGGTTTACCAAAAATTCAAAGTCTGGCCAGTTAAATAGGACTGGAAAGTGTTAATATCTTCTAGCCACATCACATGGATCACAGTGTGTCCTTTCAGCCTGAACATCCCAGAGGATGCTAATAGATAGAGCACGGTTCTGTTGCTGAAGGTCTCGCACATTTAACGCACCTTTAGATTTGTCCCTTGGGAGCACATATGTCACTCCAAGAACTGGAATTCTGGAATTCCACAATATGGTTCTACATTCTTTCTAATCTTTATAATGACCATAGTGTAGATGCGAAACGCTATGAGTGAAAAATATTCTGCACACTGCAGAATTGATAGGATTAGCTGATTTCTAAGGTCTACCATCTTTTCTGAGTCACATAGAAATCTCTTGAAACTTATAAGCAAAAGTTTGAATGTCTGAAGAAAAAGAACAAACCAAACAAAGTAAATGAGGGAAAAGAGTGAGAAAAGGGAAATGAAAGAAAGAGGGGGGCTACAATAACCTGAGAAGCTTTACGAATTCTTGAAGAAGGCTATGCAAGGAGGTTGTATGGTTGCTACTCTGGATGTCTGTCATGTAACTTTTACCATATGAGAAAGGGTTTTGCCTTGTATTATCTGTGGACAATTAAAGTGTTAGCCTATGACATCAAGTTTGGTTGAGGAAGAGATGGACTGTTATTGATTCAAAACTTCTCAAAAAATTTACTACTTAGAATGTTCTTTGGAGGAGGAAGTGCTGGGGTTCCATGTTTGGACTAAATATGGCGTGCCGATAATTTTTTTAATGTATGCCGATTGAGTACCGCCTTAAGGGATTATGGGTGCCAAAAGGGCTTCTAGGTTGATGGATGATGTTTGGGTACCGCCACCACCCTAGTAAATGTTTTTATGTACCACCAGGTCCACTACAAAGGGCTTCTTGATAATTTGCACACCCTCATTTTAGTAAGAGTTTTTATCATCATCATCATCATTACCCCAGTGCCCCAAAGTCTCCCACCTTCATTGGGGTAGGGGGGGTCGGATGTACGCAGTCTTACCCTTGTACTAAAGCACAAAGAGACTGTTTCTGGGTGACCCATAGTGAAAATCACATCGAAAAATTGCATGGATTGACTGTTGCTTCATAACAAAGAAGCAGAGACAGATTAGTGAGCCATTTTGCTTTATTCCATCATATTTCCAAGCCAAAAAATAGTGAGTCTTTGGCTCCATTGTAAATGATGGAAAGTTTAGGAAGTGTTTTTATGTGCTCGAAAAATTTGAAATGAAGAGATGCCACCTCTGAGGGCCTTTTGATAATTTGTTTAACTATTAAAAAACTATGCATTGTATAATGTGATTAAATTGCCACAGAGAGTCAGAGAACATAAATGCCAGCATAAGCAAAATACCAAGCAAAGGAAAATGTAGTGCTGCTAGGAATGAGTACTTGAATTGTTTAAAAATTGCATCTATTGAAGTGGGAAAATCAAGTTGATTTGCTCAAAGCAAAAAGAAACGCTTAATTTGGACACTCATTTTGCGTACTTATTTGTTCCCTCTTTATCTTCCTTTTATGGTATCAAGGTGATCCTGCTTTACTGATTTTATATTATTGCCACTGTTCATCACAGCTTATGGTGTTGATATGTTAAATACCATTGGCTACATATACACGAGGCAGGCAGCAAAAGAACTCGGGAAAAAAGCTATATATTTGGGTGTACCATTTGTTGCTGAGTGGTTTAGAAACAAAGGGCACTCAATAAAGTCACAGGTCACTGCAGCAACAGGTTTGTTGGTAGTGTTATAAATCTGAACTTGGAGGCAGGGGATTAATCATTAACTTTCAAGGTCTCAAATTCACCTTTTATTGAATACATACTTAATTTCATGCTCAAAGGTCTTTAATTAGGAAAATGACTTGTAGGAGTTATTTCTGATTTTCTGGATATTACTTTGTTTGGTTTGCACAGTAAAGTGAAGTTAATGGAAATTCAATACCACATACGTAGTATTGAAAACGGCCATTTGTATGAAATAATTATTATTATTTTATTCCTTGAACAATAGCAATGACTACCGGCTATCACCACAAGAATGACTTATCAACAATCACCATTACAACAAGAATTGCAAGCAAACCGTTCAAGAACTATTTGAGAACTCAAAAAGAATTGTTCAGAAATTGTTTGCTACGGCCTTGTTTGGTTCTGTTTTATGTTTTGTCTTAAATTTTTTCAAAATTAAAAGAAAAACTCTGAAAACAAGAAAAAGTGTTTTTAAGTTTTTTTTTTGTTAGCAGTTTTCAAAATTAACATGTTTACTGTATATCTGAGCACAAGTTCAACTCTTTAATTTGAGCATTTTTTCATGTCTATCAAGCACTCTTGTAAAAAATCAGACTTCTGTCAAGCTGAACCTGAACCTCATGCTTTAAGCTCATTGCATCCTGAGGATCACTATTACCGAATCAACCTGAAATTATCTTACAGACCACAGTGTTCAGGCTCGGCTCTTTAACACCCCTAGTGCCAATGCTCTTCCTAGGTGTTCAATTTTGGACTTTAGTAGAATCAAAAGGAACTCTTTATAAGGAACTAATGAAATATGATAGTTTAGCTTTGGAGATAAGACAAAGGCTAGTCCACCAATTCCTCCAGATTTTCCTTTTAGGAATACAGTCATGGTGAAATATGACCAGCGATGTTGCTGATTAGGAATTCAAGTAATTGTTGACAATTATGCATCTCTTTACTGCTTTAGGCTGGAGAAATTCTTTTAACTCAAATTTTAAGACTAATATGGGTGTTAGACACTTGGACTGAACTTTATGTATTAGCTGTGCTGCTGATTGCCAGTTTATGTATGATTGTGTATGCCAAGTATGCTAGAGCTGTCACAGGTCTGCTTATGCGTGCTTAGGTTTTGGAGTTTTGCTATATTCAACATGAGGGATGGAAGAGTCTTAGGGATGTATCCATGTTAAAACTTAAACGTTGTGTGATTGAGACTTCCTTCCATCAATCATCACATTACAAATCCTGGATTGCACTTCTTCATTCATATTAACCGCTAAAATTAGACTTTGTATCTGATTGAGCACCATTTTTGTGTTTGTGTTTGTCTTATAAATTATAATATTAGTGAAAAGATGTTGCTTGATTGGAACTTCGACATGTAGCTCCACATTTTCTCCTTCAAGTTTTTGACTTCAACACTTCGCTACTTCTAGGTGCATTTGCTTTGATTCAGCTTCAAGAGGACATGAAACGACAACTTAGTGCAGAAGGAAACTACACTGAGGAAGAAGTTGAAGAGTATTTGCAGTCTCACAAGAGAATAATGATTGACTCTTTGTGGAAGCTTAACGTTGCTGATATTGAAACAACTCTCTCCCGTGTTTGTCAGATGGTTGTTTATTATTTTCATCTTTTGGATGCAAGCTATTTTTATCTTTTTTTTGAATGTCCGTTCAATGCCTTGCATTTTCCAGGTTTTAAATGATAACAATGTTAAAAAAGAAGAACTCCGGGCACGAGCAAGGGGCTTGAAGACACTAGGCAAAGTATTTCAGGTATTTTCATTAATTTCTTGTTTTGTGACTGCTATTCATCACCCTGAATGTTTGTTAACAGAGAAATTACATGCCATTAGAGTGTCAAGTCTGTCAATGGCAAAGATACTGATGCTTCAGTAAACACGCCAGTCCATAAGTTGGATGGAACTGAAACAATTTATGGTTCTCACTCTATGGATGCGTCCTCACTATCTCAGAATACAGATGACGCTTCTTATGCAGCTTTTGCGGTACAGGTACTGCTTTTATTCTTTTCGAATAACTCCTTTTTGTATATTGCTTTTCTGAGCTTGTAGCCTTTTATCTTTGGGCACTTCACAGCAGGCCCGGTTTGTAGCCTGATATCAAAAGTGAGATATGCGTGCATGTGAGATACTAGAATGAGATGGATTTAACTGGGGTAGATGATAGTGAAATCAGTAATGCGAATTAACTTTCAAAATTATCCAATACAACATTTTGTTGCTTTGAAACTCTTGCCTGACCGACTGGTAACAGGACGTGAATTCCATCGTACAGCCGACTGTACCGTGCGCACGGTACAGCCGGACTTTTTGTTCTCAGCGCAGCACAGGTCGTCATCCTCTAGAGGCTTCCCTCGCACCATCTGGATCTCTTCTTCGTCCCTCGGAGGCTTCGCTCCCACTGTATGGTCGTCGTCCCTCAGCTCGTGCGGTTCGTGGTTTCCTCGTTACAGTGATTCGCTTAGCTCGCCTCTTGCATTTGTGATGATGGAGCTCTCAACCCACGTCTATGGTGGATTTCGCGATTGACGAGGACGAAAGGGCATCTCAACCCTAGATTTGGCTCCTGTTTCTCCTTTTCTTCTTTTTCTTATGGAGTATACACGTAGTTTTACTGATGAGTATACACAATTAAAAAATTGAGTATAGTAGAGATTTAAATGAGCTTTTTTGAATTGACTGATGCTCATTTCGTAATTCGTGTTTGCTCATTTGGTATTGGTGTAAACTCATTTTAAAATGTCATATTCATGCATATTTCAAAAGTATAATATAACATCAAATTTATATATTAGATTCATACGGATTCAAATTTAACGCCCAAAATCAATGAGCATACACAAATTAGCTTTTGAATTTTTTGATACTCATTTTGTAAATTATGTATGCCCATTTGACACTGCTTTATGCTCATTTTAAAATGTTGCACATATCAAACATATCATACTACTAGGCCTGGGACCGGGTCGGTTCCTCATGGGGGATTTTGGCACAAATTTTGCATTGATATGTCAAATCAGTCAAATAAATTATTTAAGAACATTGCGCAGTTAATACACACACACACACAACACAATATTTTTTTTAAAAATTATTTAACTGCCTTCCTGATTGAATTTTTAGCTGAAATTTGGTATGAATACATTAGACTTGATGAAGAACATGCTAAAATATTTCATCAAAAAATTCAATCGGGAAAGGCCCGAAATGCCCTCGGCCGGACGGCGGTTCCCGTTAGGCTGGCTGGACATGAAAGATTCTCTCTCTCTATGTGTGTGTGGGGGTGCACGCACATGTGTTTGTGTATTTTTTTTGGATGAAAGGCATTTATAAAAAACACCCAAAAAATAACATTTTACCATGTATCAAGTCCAACCCAGGGCTATCTAAGTTAGAATCCCTCTAACCTAAATATAAAATATCCCAAAGGGGGATGGGACAGGCCCCACCTCAAAGCGAATCAGAAGCTAAAAGTCCACATCAACACAAAACTCAAATTAATTAATTTGACCTGGGACTTCCTGGCTCAATCACTGATCCAATTTGCTGAGTCAACTACTGGTCATAGTCTTAAAGCACTGCAATATTCAAAATGTATTCCTTGCTGTCGTTTTCTGATATTAAAGCAATGAATATTCTGTCCTACTTGAAAGTACGTGACACTTGAATATCTTTGAAGGGTAGTTTAGTGTCCCCCACATAAACAAGGACATTTAGCGTTATTTGGGTAGGTGGATTTTTCAAGTTATCGATAAGATATGAATGACTGAAAAGTTGTATGGCATGCTCTATACATGAAAGTTGTACTCGATATCATACAAGTAGCTGTCCTTGGGAGAAACCTGTGTTACTTTCTCACCACATTGAAGTTTTCTTGTCGTCTTTGATGATTCCTTCTCTTTTGTTAACATGTTTCCCTCAGAGCCCATACATTGAAACACCGCAATTCGCTAATGGAGAATTCTACAGCTTTGACTTCCCCCTGCCAACTGCACCACCTGGTGCAGAGAGACATGCCTAGGACAGGGAGCCAAGTCTTATTTGTTGTATGAACATCAGGTATTATTGAGTAGGTTACTGTTAGAGGCCTGGAGAAGTTTGGATGTTCCATTTATTTCTAAGTGGATGTAAATGTGCTTGTAATTTGCTATACATTTGTGTGGGAAAAAAATGCGGGTAGTGAGTCTGAAGTTGAGCCCCGCTTGTGGTTGGTCAGTTTTTTCTAACAGCACCTCACAATAATACCGAGATGTTCTCTTCACAAACGTTTACACAAAAGTAATAGGGATATGTGTATATCTTATGTTTATAAGTATTCTTTTTTGCCCAATAGTGACCAAATTTTAGATTGCTTCTAGGATCCAAATTTAGAATATAGATTTAAAAGCTCACCATTTGTAATACTCTCAGTCGCCCTCCATTGGCCTTTCTGCTCAATGCATTCACCTTTCCAACCACAACTCCATGACTAGGTATGGTTGAGATGAGTATGCTACATACACGTCTCCATTATGGGACCAAAGAGCTTCGTCTCTAGTGGCAAACATGTGAATCTGCAGACATATTCTGCTTGTGGCAAGTGTTTTTTGGTGTGTATGACTGTATGAGGTGAACTGTTGAATTCATCTTGATTTTGAAGGAAGATGCTAGGATAAACCATGGTAAGCTCACTTTCTTGCAACTCTTAGTACCTTGGGAATATTGGATTTTTGTAACCCCCGCTATAAAACTTTAGTCAGAGTCCAAATGCCAGAGCTGGATTTTTAAAGGCATGAAATAGGTATTATTGAGTGTTAATACTGCATCATGATGATGAGAGTATTATATCAAGGAACATGAAATGTGGCACCCAGGTCCCAGGTGTTAATGTTGCTATATGACCAAATGCTTGCTGTCCATGCTAGATAACATCGCATTATTTGAAGTATTTTCTAGCGTTTGATAATCTACTATTTACCGAATTACCTGGGAAGTGGGAATGGAACTAGAGAAATGATATTGCAACATCAAGTTACCCTTTACATATGGAGTGGATCATTGGTCCGGAGGTATTGAAGGGCTGTTCAGAATTAAATAAAAAAACTACCTCCATCTCAATGTTAAAGTTAAAAATCCTCCCTATTAATAATTAATTCAATTTTAAAATGGAGTAATTAAAATTTACTTATTCAGAAACTAGTTTCAAAATCCAAGTTAAAATTTAATTAATAATTGATATCCCAATTAAGTGAATAAAAATCAATTTTACAACTCAATTTGGGATCGATGGAGTGTTATATATAACACATGCAGTGAAAATAATATACTTTAAATAAAAAAATGTATGAAATGTAATAAAAAAACTAATTTTGATTGCTATAAAAAATATCATAATAAAAGAAATCCAAATAAATAAAAATTGATATAACTAATTATAAGGAAATCAAAGAACGTAACTTACGAATTAAGCATATACGGAGTACGATAGAATAGTATAGCTAACTTGCCAATAAGTTTATACGTAGTTGATTTCACTAAAGGTATTTCTATTAAAAATGACCAATGTATTCCAACTAACTAACTTGGTAAGTTGGCAAGTGTCTGACTTCTTTCCTTACTAGTTGATGCTCACTGATACGTGTCCAGTGATTATTAATAAAAGTATCTGACACGTATCTGTGAACTGATATGCGTATCTGACTTATTAATAAAAATATCTGGCTTATTTTTCAAAAAAATTGATACTTCCGATACCCGTATCTGTGAACTGATATGCGTATCTGACTTATTAATAAAAGTATCTGGCTTATTTTCAAAAAAATTGATACTTCCGATACCCGTATCTGTGAACTGATATGCGTATCTGACCCTATAATCCTCATTTCATACCTGATATGACGAAAATTTAGTAGTTGCCCAAACGACCATAAGATGTGGAACATTGATAAATATGATTTCGGGAGTATGGAAAATATTAGAATACTATAATTTTTCACTTTATCGTCTGATGAGGTTTAATTGAAAAAAGACTTAGATGTAAATGCAAATAGAGAATAGAGAACAAAAAATATTATTTGAATTTAAATCAAAATATCAGTATTTTAGTTTTTTAGCCTAATCTTTGAAATTTTGTTGTAATAGTTGATTTTTATACTATTATTATTTTATTTATGAACCTCTGAATTATATATATTTGCAAATTATACCCCATATTTTATTACTTATTACTTATTACTTATCGCGGTACCTGTATTCGCGTATCGGCGTATCCATATCCGTGCAACATAGCAGAACAACTTATTGCTCTAGCTATTGAGTTCTCTGTCTATCTGGGCCTTGTGTAGTTGTGTGACCGCACCGCTTGCACAGCGCCAGGGCCAGCCCTGCTAAGGCTGCTAATGAGTGAAATTTAAACTCCAGACTAGTCATGGACCCGGGCCCGGCCCGGGCCCGGCCGGGCTTTTTTTTGGGAAGGAAGGCCCGGGACTGGCCCGGGTAGCCACCGGGTCCGGTCCGGGTCCGGGCCGGGCCGGGCCTCCGGTTCGGTCATATTTTTTTTTTTTATTTTTTTTTTTTTGCTTTCCTAACCCCCCCCCCACTCACCCCCCACCCTCCCAAACCCCCAAACCCCTCCTAACCATCAAGCCCAACCCGGCTAACCCCAACAAATGAAAAAAAAATAAAAAAAAATCAATTCGGCCCGGGCCGGTTCGCCAAATACAAGGCCCGAGCCCGGACCCGGACCCCCCACCGGGCCTAGGCCCGACCCGGACCCGGACCCGGACCCGAGAACCGGGCCGGTTCTGGGCCCGCACAGTGGCGGGCCGGTCCCGGGCCGGGCGGCCCGAACCGGGTCCATGCCTACTCCAGACTAGTAACATGATACTACGTAGTATAGGAAAGAAAATATTCTTGAACACGGTGAATTTTAATCAGTGCAAGTGCGCAACTCGCTCCAATACATTTGTACATATACATTGGGTGAAATGGTGAATTACCAAATTGGTAAGAGAAAAAGGCTATGTTGATGTTGCGTTAGGGGTGGATTGGGTCGGCCCGACCCGGACCTCGCCCAACCTGACCCGCTGTTGTGCAAGCCCGATCTAGCCCAGTTGACTAGGACCGGGACCAAGCCCGGGACCTGACCCGGATGAAGAAGCAAGCGGTACCTGGCTTTGATTTTTGTGGATTGGCCCGGATGAGCCCGGTCTGGGCCTAAAGGTCAAGAATTCAAAAAAAAAACATAGTTTGGGCTTGGAATTGTTTGGTCCGATTTCAAGAATTTTGTTTTGAGAATTTTAATCAGTGCCAGTCCCGTCTCAAAGCCCCCTCAGGTAGCCCGGCCCTACCCAGTCTCGGTACAAACCTAGGCCGGTACCGGGCTTGATAATTTTGGACTTGGAGCCTGCCCACTCTCGGCCCGGACCTGGCCCAGTCCACCCCTAGTTGACGTATTGATAAGTGCACATATATGTAATATATTAGTATGAAAGATCCCCACATTATATGTGCAAATAGGTTGAAATTTGAAAATTGACAATTAGACGCAGTTCGTATACAGTGCAACCGGCCCACCAGTACATCATGCTCTACTCCCACAACGACGTAGTTTTGCACAATTTTTTAAAAAAAAACGTGTGAACAGTACACATGTGTACAGTAACTGTTTATTGTCTTTTTGTCCCAGTAGCATGAATGATGTAACTCGCGTGGAAGGATATGTAACTCGCATTATTGATCAATGTAACTCAAGTCCGTTCAAAATGTAACTTGTCAAATACATAATATAAGAAATAAAATATTGATTTCAATGTAAACAATGAAAAAAGAGAGTCTAATTGCACAATTGCTTTAGGTAAAACGTGAATATGTTTTGTTTTTAATACCAATGGCCATATTTTTTTTTTTTGAAAAGATCATTTTTGTTTTGTTTCTATAGCAGGGGTTGATTTTTTTTATGTAACTCGTGTTATTACAGATGTAATTCCCGTTAATGGCAAATGTAACTTAGGTGTATACAGAATGTAACTTGTTGAAAAATTGAACAATAATTTTTTTTTGTTTTGAGAATAATATGTGTGTGTATTATAAACATTGATTTCAATGTAAACAATGAAAAAATAATCATATTAGCCCAATTACTTTTTTTTAAATAGTGAATATGTTTTATTTTTAATATTAGAGCTATAAAAATAATATAGCAGGGATTTATTCCGTAGTGTAACTCACATACATTTAGATGTAAATCGTGTATATTAAGTTGTAACTCGCGTACATTAAGATGTAATTCGCACATAGTAAGATGTAACTTCATATACTATTGAATGTAATTCCAGAAATTGTTTATAAATATAACTCACACATATGAAAAATGTAATATAATTTCATGTTTTATGAAATTTAAATTAAAATAAACAAATTCAATGTCTTAAAAACACTAAAAGCATATCAAAGAGATAAGAAATATATTATAGAAAAAATATGAATATGAAATCTAAAAAAATATTACAAAAAATATATATTTTATTGTTATATCAGTTGAAGCTAAAAAAAAGTAAAGAAAATGTATGATTATGAAATACAATATACTTATTTTATGTAGATTAATAAAATTTTGTAATAATTTGGTAGAGAGAAAAAAGTAAATTCAATTTAAATTTAATTAGTTGAAGATAAATATAAGTGAAAGCACAAATAAAGTTTTAGTATTTTGATGTAGAAGAAAAAAGAATGGCTAAAGGGTCAAATTGGTACATGAACTAACCTAAAATGTTCAATTAGCCCCTTATATAGGAGGTTCTGTCCGGCCGTCGCCAATTGGGGCGGTTCCCGGTGGAATTTTTTGATGAATTTTTTTTAGAATCTTCTTCAATAAGTCTAGTTTACCCATACCAAATTTCAACTAAAAATTCTATCGGCAAGACAGCCAAATGATTTTTTGAAGATAACTGCGCAGTTAAGCAGCACAATACATTTCGGAAAATCATTTGACTACCTTCCCGGTTGAATTTTTAGCAGAAATTTGGTATGGCTAAACTAGACTTAATGAAGAAGATGCTCAAAAAAATTCATCAAAAAATTCGACCGGGAACCGCCTCAATTGGCGACGGCCGGACAGAACCTCCTATATAAGAGGCTAATTGAACACTTTAAGTTAGTTCATGTACCTATTTGACCCTTTAGCCAAAAAGAATTGAAGAAAATAGAAAAGAAAAATAAAGAGAAAGAAAGTACTAACCTAGAAAGAGAAATAAAGCTTCTGTAGTATTGGATTGTTACGTTGGAGCTTGGGAAGAGAAAAACGGTACCGTATTAGTGGACCGGTATACCATGCGCATGGTATACCGGTCACATAGTATAATTTGCAATTAGACGAGTGTCAAGGTATTCACTTTCTTTCTATAGGCCTTGATGGTGTACTGGAAATATGAAAGTAATGAGTGAACCATTTAGCAAAATATGTATAAGTGTATAACGTTGCATTCCAACCAGTGGCAGACTGGCAGGCCTAGAATTTTTCTGAAGCGAGGCACTACTATATGGACAGAGACGGGCCGGATCGGGTATGAGACTAATCTATTCAATGTGCAGACAATTTTTTAAACAAAAACAAGTTATCCAATTTCAGTTTTCAACCCATTAAATCAATTCTAAATAATACTACCTCCGTCCCACTATGTTTGGGACGATTCGGTTTACGATGTTTGACCAACGATAAAGCAAATTGATCCATGTCCACACTCAAATTATTTTAAAATAATAAAAATTACGTATTCAAAAACTACATTAAAAGCTGTACAAAGTCGCAAAAACCAGAATCAAATTTGATAAAAATTTGATATATAAAGTAAGAGATTAAGAGTGATTTGTGTTGCCAAATGAATAGTGTCTGGGACAATCTTAGCGGGACAGAGGGAGTAATATTCAGTTTCTTGAAAGAAAAACACAATACTTCTTATGAATTAGAACCGAATCATCCTAGGAACATTTCTGGTTTTGGATTAGAATTCAAGTTGTTTTTGAACTGCAAATGGCCAGAATTTTGATTTAGAACTACAACAGTGTCTAACGTCATGCCACAAAATTACAATGTCAAAAATTCCTTCATCAACTTGGGATTAAATCGTGAACCCTAACATGTAACTCCGGACCGAGCTAAACTACTTTAATTTCTTGATTCAATCATTTTCTGTCTGTTATTACTACACCTTTTTCTAATAACTCTCTTATGGTGTCATATTGTTTTTGTAGGAATACACCCTTTATTTAACAAGTGGATCCCAACATTTTAGTAACATAACCATGGAGAAATATCCAAAGAAAGTAACCACAAACTTCTTCTTGTGTGCAATAGCCACGACAACTAATTGTAATTGGTAAGAAAACAATGAATATATCTTGTGTATGGAATTTCATTTAATATAATCTTAAATCCATTAAGTTCACCACACATATTAGAAGTCTCGTCATATCATTGAGTTCTAATTTTAGAAAAAGATAATTCGTACTTCACAAAAAAACCATCAATGTCACTTTTCAAAGAATGACTGTGTTAAGAACATGTCTAATTGTATGAAATCGCTTCATCATAACTCTGTAGTCACTTAAATGTCTTATAACAATTTTCATATGCTCTTTGACAGAATCATTACATATCTAATAGTCATAGTTTTTATTAGGAAGCGGGGGCACTGATTATACCATAAGTAATACTACTAAATTTCAGGGTCGGAAGCAGAGCCGAGGACCCTCAGGTCCACTGATTTCCAAGTGATCTATTGCAAAAGTTCTACACTTCTACCCCATATAGTACGATCACAATCTTTCAAAATAAATTCACCCTAAATAAGTTCACCCAATTTTGTTTTAAAAGAAAAAGTTCACGCATTTTTCTTTGCAATTTAGGACACAAACTACAAATGGAAATGAGGCGGGTTTAGCCGAAAAAAGGTGTTTAAGATAAACAATAAAAACAAATGATGGTCATTTATTTAATAAAATCAATCGATGAAAAGGTTTTTTAAAGTAAAAACATCAGCGACATTTTCAAAAATATCTTAAACTTTAGAAAAAATATACTATCCTCCGTTCCAAATTAGATGCAACATAGCCCAATGGCACACAGATTAAGACAAAGTCATAAAGTAATTTGTTTCCTATTCTACCCTTCTGCACCCGTCCTCCCTCATCTGTTAGAAGCGTATGAGTGACTGACCGCAGGTCTGGAGTCCAAAGAAGTACCACAGCCATGATTTTTTTTATCTTTTCTCTCATACACCCTTTTCTTCTCCCACTTAGAAGGAATGAACCGTCAAAAACTGATGGTTACGCCTTACATGAGCATCCATGTACCGTACTGGAGTCCAATTGTATTCAGCTTTACATGAGTTCCCCTTCCCCTGATGATTACGTCGTTCCCGACCAGTTGAGATCTTAGCCACAAGTTTCTCTCTAGTTCTGTCTCTTTCAAGAAAGGTATCTCTTTCTCGGCCGGAGGATGAGCATCCATGTCGCCTATGCTGCCCATGTCTACCTCTTTTGCTCCTGATTTGAGAAATCGCTTCAGTGTTATCAGATTGGGTCTTGACGAAAGTGGCAGAGCAAATAAATTTAATTTGTGTCGTCCTCCACATACAGAATGTTTTTGCTGTAACTTCAAACAAAATGAAAGAAATGAAAAGAAGGAAGAAATTGGAGGAAGGATGAAGAAAAAACGAAGCCAGAAGAGAACGAGATGTGTGTAACAGTAGATTAGGGAATGGGAGAGGGAAGAAATGAGAAAGGTGAAGGAGTGAGCAGATGGTTGAAAAGATCGGATGGCAGGAATTTGTGGTGCAGATGGGTTTAGTACTTTAGTATGAAGCATTACTTTATTGGATTTAAGGGTAATAGAGTCATTGTGGTTATTTCTTATTACTAAAAAAGGTAATGTTGCAATTAAATTGAAACTACCCAAAAAGGAAAGTGTTGCAACTAAAAAAGAACGGAGGGAGTATCAAAATATAAGTAGAAACATTTTAAAATTCTAAAATATGAGTATTATGTTTTTATTCTCAGCAATATGTGTCAAACTTGAGAAATGATATCATGTTTGAAGTTTGATAATGCCAAAATATGACAGTAATAATTCTTATTAAAAAAATAAAAACACATTAATTCTATTTTGGGTTTCACAAACATTTTTACTCTGATTTATAGAAATTGCTTTAATGTTTAATGTGTAAAAGTGCATTGTTTTATACATATAGTGCATTAGTGTGCTTTAAAGGGCGGTGCATTATATTTCAAATAAAATGTGCTAGAATTACCAAAATTATACTATCGCCACTGATATTTTTTGATATTATCATGTCTTTGTTCTCCTCCTGACTGTCCATCTTCCGTTTCACCATCTTCCTTTCAAATGCTCAATCCTAACTTGTGCGTGCCTGATGCATTCGAGGAAATTACTGGTCCTTACTTATGTGTGCCTGAAACGTCAGACAAAGTTGTTCATAACTCCATACTCATCCTTACCTGAGGATGTTATCGGGGGGGGGGGGGGGGGGGGGTAAATAAAATATGGATATGATTGAAGGCATTTGATTTCTCGTCTCGATGTTTTTAATTTTGAACATTGGCTTCATATTTCCAGTTCTGATTTCATTATGTTTAGGGAAAAGGTGCAAATAGGGTCATGTACTAACAAAAAAAAGTCAAATAAACCCTTATTTAGGAGACTCTGTCCGACCGTCGTCATTTAAGGTGGTTCCTGGTGGAATTTTTTGATGAATTTTTTTGAACACCTTATTCATCAAGTCTAGTTTACTCATACCAAATTTCAGCTAAAACTTCAATCGGGAAGGCATTCAAATGAATTCTTGAAGATAACTGCGCTTCTAACTGCGCAGTTATTTTCAAGAATTCATTTGAATGCCTTCCCGATTGAAGTTTTAGTTGAAATATGGTATGAGTAAACTAGACTTGATGAATAAGATGCTCAAAAAATTTTATCAAAAAATTCCACCGGGAACCACCCCAAATGGCGACGGCCGGACAGAGCCTCCTAAATAAGGGCTTATTTGACCTTTTTTGGTTAGTACATGGGCCTATTTGCACCTTTTCCCTTATGTTTATGATATCATTAAAAAGTTAATTTTTTGATTTGTTAAACTAGCTTCATTTTTTGGTCAAATTTATGACAACTTCTTGCTAACAATCTTATAATTGCAGTAAAAACTCTTATTTTTTTGACATCAATTTGAAAATATTGAAAATTTTATGGCACATTGTACAAGATATCCATGTTAACTTTAAAGTCAATAAATATGACATTTCTTACGAAAATTGCCAATATTGTGTTCAATATTCGTTCAAGATAGTGAAGTTATTTCATTTTTATGTTGTGGATAAGATGTCACTTTTGCAGCTAAGTGACAGTTTTGAAGTTTGAAAACAAATGGCGAATATTGCCAATTGAAAATATGGATATGATTGAAGGCATTTGATTTCTCGTCTCGATGTTTTTAATTTTGAACATTGGCTTCATATTTCCAGTTCTGATTTCATTATGTTTATGATATCATTAAAAAGTTAATTTTTTTATTTGTTACACTAGCTTCATTTTTTGGTCAAATTTATGACAACTTCTTGCTAACAATCTTATAATGGCAGTAAAAACTCTTATTTTTTGACATCAATTTGAAAATATTGCCAATTTTATGGCACATTGTACAAGATATCCATGTTAACTTTAAAGTCAATAAATATGACATTTCTTACGAAAATTGCCAATATTGTGTTCAATTTTTATTTCAAGATAGTGAAGTTATTTCATTTTTATGTTGTGGATAAGATGTCACTTTTGCAGCTAAGTGACAGTTTTGAAGTTTGAAAACAAATGGCGAATATTGCCAATTGAAAATATGGATATGATTGAAGGCATTTGATTTCTCGTCTCGATGTTTTTAATTTTGAACATTGGCTTCATATTTCCAGTTCTGATTTCATTATGTTTATGATATCATTAAAAAGTTAATTTTTTGATTTGTTACACTAGCTTCATTTTTTGGTCAAATTTATGACAACTTCTTGCTAACAATCTTATAATGGCAGTAAAAACTCTTATTTTTTGACATCAATTTGAAAATATTGCCAATTTTATGGCACATTGTACAAGATATCCATGTTAACTTTAAAGTCAATAAATATGACATTTCTTACGAAAATTGCCAATATTGTGTTCAATTTTTATTTCAAGATAGTGAAGTTATTTCATTTTTATGTTGTGGATAAGATGTCACTTTTGCAGCTAAGTGACAGTTTTGAAGTTTGAAAACAAATGGCGATGGTGCAGTGATGCTCATTGTGACATTGGACGGTGGTAACGCCTGCTCCCTTTCTAGCGGGTGATGGTGCAACCAAGGAACCTAGGTTTTACGAAATCTTTTTTACTTTTCTACTTTTTTACTATAAATAAATCTAAAATATCATCTAGGGTAAGTTATTCCAGTGAGTTGATTTGTATTGATATGAAATATGGAAGTCCTATCTATACACTTCGTCATTATTTTAGTCCTATTTAGGGAATCAACGCTAAACTTTTATCATTTCTCTCAACTTTCTTCATTCATTAACCTAATTATGTTTCTAAAGATATTATCATTCTTATTCTTTCCCTTAAATACAAATATAAAGTGTATATTTTCAACAAAAAATGATCTTACCAAAATACCAAATAACTTAAGCAACAAGCTAAGGAATTCTTCAAAATGATAATTTTTATAATTCAGTTTTACTAAAAAATACTAGACTTTGATTGTTACCTTAAGTATTATAATTATTATTACATAGGTCTCATTTCACATTTTCTCAAAGTATCTCATTTTACATTTTTTTCAAAATATCTCATTTCACATTGCGAAGTGTGAACTTAGAACTGGGTGTGAAATAAGAAAATTTTGTGTGATTTAAGCTTATGGAGAGAAAAGAAATATAAGCTGATATTTTCTTCGTATTAAATTTTTTGCTACAATAGAGTTTGACACAATATCCAAGAAAAAATAATACTCTGTATGAGAATGAATATGGAATACTGTAAAAAAAAAAGTAAGAGTGATAGTGCAAAAGTATGAAAAGTAAAATAATTATTGATAATTGAATAATCTTAAATGTAAAAATTGCCAAAAATTGAAAATGTAGCTAAAATCAAAATATAAATTGATTATTTTACTATGAAAGTGTCAAAGTAAAAAATGCGAGGTTCTGAAAGTTTCGTCTGAGGGAGGGAGCAGAGAACTTCGCCTCTATTTCACCGTTTATCTGCCTGCGTTGACAAGCCTTAAGGCGGCTTAGATGGTGTTTATTTAGCACACAAAGAAGAGGAGAAGGGAAGTGATAGACCGTCCATACAAATCCGAAATGGAAGAAAATGATGAAATGGACTCACTGTTTGAGGGGATGGTCCTGTTCGATCCTTCTGAAATGGTGTCTGGAGATCCGGATATCGACGACGTCGGAATTGGACATCTAGACCGGCGGGGCTCAGACATAGCTGGCGTTGTTAATGTCGGAGCAGCTCAACCGGCTGTCCCACCTATTCAAGTTCCGGCCCAATCAAACCATATTCAGCCGCTCGATGAGAACCTGTTCTCTGATCTTACACTTGTCTCTCCCCCAAGATCCCCAGAAGTAGAGGATTTCAAGTCTCCGCCCGGTCCATCTTCAAACTCGGTACTTTCTCGCCAGAATTCTACTACCCGGAAGAAGAAGAGAGCTGGTTTAAGGATTGGATATGGTAGGAATAGATATTATGCCTCCGATTCAGTCCCAACCACCTCTCCCCCGGGTGATCATTCAAAGGAGGGGAAGGAAAAAGGGCATAACGAAGAACTAGAAAAAGAAGAAGAAGACAGTTATGCTGCTGAAGAAGGTGAAGAGCACGACTCCACCATGATCTCTGCCTCTCACGACTGTGATTCTCAAAAAACATCGCGAAGCATTCATTCTAATGATGATGCACTTTCCCATAAGGCGGCTAGCCAGGGTTCGTGTGGAGTTGGCGAAGATGTAACATCTGAGCAATTAAATTGTAACAAGAGTCATAACCCAGTTGAGTTACGATTTGAACAACTTAAGACCCTCATTTCTAGTAAGCTTAAAATGGCCAATGAGACTGTAGCTTCCATATCTTCAGAGAAGAAGGAATCGATTAGGAAGAGGAGAAAAGCTGCCCGGAATGTAACTCAAGCATATGCTGAGTATAAAGAGCTAGAGAAGAAGCTGGATGAAGCTTGTGAGGCTGAAGACTTTGAGAAAGCTGAAAGAGTTAGTGAGAGTTTAGCTTTGGCTGAGAAGGAAAAGGAACGGCTGACAGTTGATCTCAGAGATGCTGAAGCCCAGTGCAGTGCTGTTGACTCTAAGATGCAGGAGGCTCTTGACTCGCTAATTCATGTTGAGGAGGAATGCGCCTCTATGTTGCAGAGCTTTGCATTGGTCAGTTCGTTATGATAATCAAATTTCCAATTGAATGATGGTTTTGCTATAAGCTTTTAGTATCAAATTTAAATATGGAGTATGTACACCATTCTAGTGTTTTTTGGTGTGTAAATGAATCTGTGATGCTATGTACTGCTTCAAGAATATCATGTTCACACACCTTGGCTACTGACTCCATTACAGAACTGCATGACTCGAGCTTAGTTGCAGTTTACTGGATTTGCGAGAAGCTCTGTGTGCACTCAAGATAGCTTTCCTATGTGTTCATTTTTCAGTAGTTGCATTAGTTTGATACAAAAGAGAATTATTTTTTCTCTCAGGATGCCATATGTGATGCAGAATTGGATGTAACAACTGCAGAAGGATTGTCATCCAAACAGATGCAGGAGTGGGAGTTGTCCGCTGAAGCAATAGAGATCCAAAAGATGGAATTGGAGATTGAAGCTGAATTGGTGTTTGAGGCGCAAAAGGTTCTTAAGGATTCCATAGAGCAATATGTTGAGGATGACCGAAGAGAGAGAAATATTCTTTGCAAGAAAAAAGAAGTGTTAACGGAAGAGCTGAAACAACTGCTTGCTTTAGTGAAAGCAAAGGAAGAAGAAATAGCAGAAAATGATTCTCTCATTGAAAAAGTTGACAGAAGGATTGACTGTGTGATGTCTAGCTCTCAAGAAGCCGAAACTAGTATTAATGAAAATTATCAGAATCTGCAATCTAGACTGTCTGAACTTCTCTTAGAAAATGAATCTCTATTGGAGAAGAAGAAAGAGATTGATTATTATGCTTCCCAGGAGGAATCTAGGAAAGCAAAGATTAGGGATCTCTCTAGGATTTCAGCAGATGAAGCAAACATGTTTACAGAAGTTGTTGGGTTACGTAAGAGTCTGGCTCAGTTTGTTTTGAAATCCAAGGAGGATAGAGTTAGGCTTTCTATAAATGAGGATGAACTTGCAATCCAAATCCAAATGCTCCAACAGCAAATTTCTGCTGCAAGAACATCACTTCAGGTCAGTCAAGTATACTTTAATTTCTTTTCAAGAGACAATTAGTGCCAGTCCTTGCAATTTTGGACGCGATTTTCACTATGGGTCATCCGGAAACACTGCGTACATCCGACCCCCCCTTACCCCACCTACCCCACCGTAGGTGGGAGCCTTTGCGGCACTGGGGTAAATGAAAATGAAAATGAAATGAGACAATTAGTGCCAGTGTGCCACCTATTTGGTGGTCATTCTTACTCGACATCTTTAAACAGAATTCCACATTTTCACACACGAGTTTTCCTAGTCTCTTCAAAGTTCAAACTACTCATCTTCATGTGTTCCTTCAAAGACCAAATTTTGCCTTGTTACGGTATTGGTTCCTAGACCAATAAAAAATTATTCACAGAAGGTGGCATGAAACACTATAATCTTGTACATTGTATCTCACAATCTCAGGTATGCACAGCAACTTAATATGTTAAATCTGATGGTTACCCGGTTTTACCTCTTTTCTTATACGGAGTAGGATTTTTACCATATCAAACTATGGTCAAAATAATCTTGCAAAAATAGGATTTTTACCATGTCTCACGCCGTCTAATAGGATTTTTACCATATCAAACTATTTTCCAAAAAGTTTCTCTCTCCATTGCAGATCATCTTGAACTAATAATGAATCATGATCTGCTGTCCAAGTAAATATACCACTGTTAGTAACTTCGGTTTTCTAGATTGCATCTCGCTCTTCCCAGTAAAAAACACCCCTTGTTCATCGAACTGAAAAGTGGTTGTCATGACACCACCTGTACAACCCTATGTGGGGTCTTGCTCTTCTTGGTTGTACCTTTGAGCTGCACATATATCACACATGTTCAAATATGAGTCTCTCCTGAATAGAGCCTATCACACAGTTCATTACCACCCTAACTAGATGGCGCAATTATCATATGAAGTGCTGGAGGAAATATGTAAATATAACAATATAAGAGCATATTTGCAGTAAAATTGTATGAATAGATTAATAGATATCAATGGTCCACTAGTTCCACTATTGAAGGGAATGGACTACAATACAATCCACATGTAAAATAAGAAATACACTATCCAATATTTTATGCACTTGTGTAATCCGAATTCCCAACATAATATGCATGTAAGTGCAAAAGGCTGAACCAGCTGCTGTTCCCCACTTATCGCTCTATATCCATCATCCCTCAACACAAGTTGATCTGTATATCAATCTTTGTTATTGTAGGAACTATCATCATCAAAGTCAAAGATCCAGCAAGATATTGATTCCTCAAAGCAGAGATTTCTCTTTATAGACAAGAAAGTTCCAGAGCTCGAGGCAGAGAAAAAGGTGGCTGCTGCCGCAAGAAATTTTAAGGAAGCAGCACGCCTGTCAACAGAGGCGAAGGAATTGTGCATGGAAAAGGATAGAATACAAACCAAATTGGAAGATGCAGAATTAGAGGTCAAGAAAGTTGAAGAAGAGATTTGCCTTATCGTTGAGAGACTGAAAGAAACGGAAGCTCAAGGTTCAGAAAAGGAGAGAGAATTGGCTATGGCTAGATTCCAGAGGCTAATTTTAGTTGACAGAGCTTGCAGAGAAGAGAGATCAGTTGCTTTAGAGTTGGGTGACCTTGAAGAGGCAGATGCTTTGCTGGAGGAGGCTGAAGCAGCAGTTTCTGAAGCAAGAAAACTTCAACCGATATATGGTTTTCAAGAAGAGTTAATTACCCTACCTAAACATTTCATATCAGCTGAACTTGTCTCCAAGCTTCAAGGCAGGCAATTGGCTGAACTCGCAGCATCTGTTAATATTTTGGCATCATGATGACCAAAACCTTCATCTTTCCTCTTTTGGGGCAATGCCTGGGTGGTTTTGTATGGAGAAAAGGAGTGTTGGGTGGCAAATTCGAGTTGTAACATTTTTGAAGGACAGGCTGGTGTTGGTACTACAAATGAGCTACGGAGGAGGTCGAAAGGAGTGAACATAGTTTGATTCTAACGGCTTTGGTGTGGAGTGAACATAGTTTGATTCGAACAGCTTTGGTGTTTGGAGTTTTACTCGATTTGTCTTGGTCCAAGTGGAGCCCAATATTCATTTTAAAGCATCCAAGTTCAAATCCTTGTGATGGTGAGGTGTACCTTGTATTTTGATTTGGTATTTAATTTATATTAGAGGTTGGTCATTCGCATTTGTTTATTTCAGAGATAGAATTATTATTTTAAAGAGTTTGCCTAATCATCTACCATTGAATACATCTCATATAAGACAACAATGTCATTGTTTGGGGAGTATTATTATTTTTAAATGATCGTTTATATTGTTTTTTAATCCATGAACTCTTGAAGCTCTTGTATTCTTCAAGGTTTGTTTTCTAAGAAGCAGCAAATCTTGGACTCGGAATCCGATCACTCAATCACTCATACGATAAATTTTAATTGAAAATTTTGCAACAGAACCAGTACTAGTCACTTGTTTAGTAACCAGCCCAAATTAGTTCCTCTAAATAGTACCGATTCGGCTTTCAATTTCAGTCCCAGTTATCATTATTTTTTACACAAGCTAAAGACCCGGAACCAACACAAGAACCGGGACCAATATACAAGCTTCAATTTGTACTATATCCTCTGGGCAGATTTAACATGCAGTACATAAGTACTTGTCATCTGAGCTAAAAATAAAAAACAAAATGAGTACATTTGGTAATTCCTTATCCGGGGTATGAACTATGTCTCGGACCTCGTGCATCAAGAGTAGCAGGTGGATCCCATACAAACACGGCCTCTGGCATTTCGCACCTCATATACCTATTATATCCCATTAAGGGTGATGACAATTTTGCGTGGGGTAGCCTCATCCCGGTGCTCACAAAGCCATATTCCCTGTGGCATAAGAAGAAAGCAAATCCATCAGCGCATTTACTCAACTAGTAACTGAACATGTATCACACACATTACAAAACTAGATTTGTGGGTCCAACTTCCTGTTTACTCAAGTTACTGAATTTCATTTACTCAACTTCTTATAATGTTACCACAGAGAGACTAATAGGTTGACTGTTTTCTTTTCATCTAAGGAGAATATTGTGTGGGGCTGCATTACTATTGAATTCTTTAAGTCTATTGCTCAATTAGCTTATATACTACCTGGTCTCTTATAGAACTCCTAAAAGAAAACGCAATTGTAACAAGGTAGGTGTTACGGGCATTATTGTGAGATGATAAAAAAAGATCAAAAAGTATGGCAATTGGAAAAATGATACAGCTTCTCGCCCTCGGCAAGGAAGTGTCTGTCGGTTCCACAGAGCACACAAGAAGAATTCTTTCTCCGGAAGTTGATAATCTTATCAATTTAATATAGTACCTCTATTAACTAGTCCCAAGAGTTGGTGATCTAGTAATCTAGTATTAGAGTGAATCTAATTCAACTACAATACTTTTATTAGGAATGTAAACTAAAATAGAATATCTATACTAATAGAAAACTACATCTAATAATAATGATGATGATGCTGCTTATAGTAGTATGTCCTCAAGTTTGTCCATTTTCTCCACTCTAACATCAAGCTTATCCTCAACCTTGAAGATAATTACCAATGGCAGCTACTCGTTCCACAACCAAACAGTATTATTATACAAATCATAAATCTCCGTGTAGGTTGTAGATGCATGACTACAAGTAATGGCCCAATGTCTTAATAGCCCAGATTCATCAAAATCTCCTCTTGCTAGGACAGTCCATATTATCTCTTGCAACTTGGGTGTGGGTAGTGAATATGCAATATTGCAAAGATTAAGGTACCAACAGTGGTGGTGTCAGCCCCACTGGCGACGGTAAGAATGCTGTTGATAGTGATCTAGCTCCACTGGTGACAGAACGAGTGTTGTTGATAGTGACAGATCGACTTGTTGTGACAGGTCTTGCTGTGTTGGCAGTCACAATGTTAGCGGTGGTGTTGATAAGAATAACTGCTTATCCAGTGGGAACAGTGGAGAGGCTGATGACCGCACCAAAAAATATTGACATTTTGGTTAAGGAGCTTCCAGTAATGTGGGCACCGGAGCTGTTGTTGGCATAGATTGAGAATCACATTGTGACTTGTGAGTGTTTGTTGCCTTCGCTCAATATCTTCTACCAAATTAATTGTCACCACATTCATGCTACCGGGATATTGACATAGCAATGTCAAACGAATGTCATGTTGAAGTCTAGCTGTAAAGAAGTTTGCTCAAGCCTGGGAAGGTAAGCCCTTGGTACATTCCAATAAATTGGCTGATATACTGGTCTTGAGTGCCTATTTGCTGAAATTGGGATGATTCATCTTCCGCTGATGGAACTTTGTAACATTATCGCAAAGAACAATAGTCAGGTTGACTATTTTTCCCATAAAGTTTAGTTGTGAAGCAATTGAATCTTCAATGGAATTAAACATACCAAAGCTTGTAGTTCCATCCCATAGGACTTCAAAACGTCAATACATGTAAATCCTTGCAATAAGTGAATACATTTATATTTAGCAGTGTTGATCAATTGGTGACCACAGTAGGTTGTGTAGGCCTGTAGGGTCGTATCACTGCCCCGGGGTCCCCAAAATCTACTTACCGACCTGCCCATGCTAATATGTCCTTATAACACTATTCAATGTCAAGTTGGTGTCTGCTCTGGGCATTGTAAGCAAAAACACCAGTGCCCAAAAAAATGAATCAATAGTCTATATGTAGCTTATTTTTAAAAACTTAATGATTACTGCCTTTTTTCAATACACACAACTGCACACAATTTATAATACTACACGATTAAAGACTTCCTATATCAAGCTTTCTTTATATGCTATTGATATATCAAATCCATGACTCAAGCAATTGGAATTTGGAACATATTTTACACAATATACCTGCCAAGTTCCCATGTTTAGCTTTCCATCTGTTATGGGTATCCTACAAGTTCCAAAGTTGATATTAATAGGAATTTTAAGTAATGACATATGCGAAAAAAACGAGAATGTATTCATACGTTAGTGTGCAGCCAAACATTGATGACTTAATGTGAGCAGGCATGTCATCAGGACCTGCAAAAGTATAACAATTCTAATACAAGTGCACATAATGCACTAAGCTGAGTGTTGCAAAATTTCCACACAACTTTTCAATAGACAACAGCACAAACTTAAACAAGGGGGTCTTCACACAGCTGGATAGCATTTAGATTTACAATTTTATATTACTCCCTTTGTCCCAATTTAACCTTCTACTTTACTTTTTTCATCCATCACAAAATAAACTTCTTGTTTTCGTTTCAATGATAGAACTCTATGATCTATATTTTTTTCCTTTCTAAAAAAATCAACCACATTTATTTTCATTACATCCATGTCCATTCAAATATAGAGTATATATACTTTTCTTTCCTGGAATTGACTACATTTGTATCAAACTTGACACATACTCCCTACGTTGCAAAATAAGAGTCCAGTTTAGTCAAGGTACACTTTTTAAATAATGGAAAGGTACAACTTTTGAATATTGAGGAATACTATTAATACTTCTCCAATTAATTTTTTGGATGAGTTAAACTTATTAATTAAAACTTGTTTGTAACTTTTTGGATAACTACATGATAAGTTACTTCAGCTTCATGAAATGGGGCTCTCATTTTTGGGACAAGAGGTTTTTGTAAATAAGACTTTTTTGTGCAGGACAACGAATAACTTCTATACTCCTGCTTGAGAGGCAGTGTTGAGGGTTGAGAATAGTTGTACAACCTTCCGTAAACTATGTACAGCTTCCAGATTCATTTGTAATAATCAAAACTATCTTTTATGTCAATCAATTCCTTCCATAGTTCCATATTCAACACATAGATAAGAAATTAAGAATCAGTGTTATTAAAGTTGGAAACTACATTGGGCAAATGAAGAATCCAAGTTATCCAAGAACTAACTTCATACCTTCTAGGGTGTGCTTCCATGGTGCAGACCTCCCCTGAAAAAAAATCACAACAGAATAACACCCAAGGGGCGAACCACTAAGTGCATGTTTGGCAAACATAGTCTCTGCCTTCTAGCTTTTGTACTATTTAAAAAGTCTAAAAGATTCTAGTTGTATTTTGGTATGACAAATTTTAGGGAAAACTGTCAAATAGGTCCTCCTATTATATCAAAAAAGTCAATTAGATCCCCGTACTTTAAATTCGACCAATTGAACCCTCAAACTATTAAAAGACAGGCAATCAAGCCATTCAGCCGGTAAGAAATACATCTTCCGGTTAACAGCTTACGTGTACCGTCCATTTGACTTTTTTCTTTTTATTTACCTTTTTTTCTCTCTTTTCTCCTTCCACCATTACCAGCCGTCTGATTTTTACTAAATCTTCGATCTTCTCCCAGTCTCAATTTGTCTTCCACCCATCTGCAAAATGCTCGTACGCAAGCCGGGGAGAACCAGACCTCCATAGTTAGCGCCCAGAACCCCACAAAGAACACCATGATGTTGGCGGCATCACCCTCCAGATCCACGAAATCCTCATGGACGAGGCCATCAAGTGCGCCAACCCGCCCGTCCAGATCATCCCCGACCACCCCTGGAAGGATGTATTAGATGCAGCCCTGCATCGACGACTTCATTAGCCCACCGGAACTCAAGCCCACCGGCTGGTCATTGTGGATGGGCAGCTTCGGGCTGGATATTTGCTTGTATGTGGAGTTGCAGAGGAGAGGCGCCGGACCTAAAACCGGCAAAAGGGTTGAATGGAAGGTTAGCCAGAAGCACCAGTGCACAGCGGGAGTTTATTTTCCGGTAGATGGAGTGACTGGATCAAGCCCACCGGAACTCAAGCCGACCGGAACTTAATACGACTCTGGGATGATCAAGACCGCCTAAATAATGTCATATTCATAAATTAAGCCCACCGGTAAAAAGATCAGAGCCTCAGACTCAGAGGGACGGGTGGAAGAAGAAGCCAGAGGGAGAGACCAGGCATCTGGGAGTGAAAAAAGAAAAAAGGAAAAAAAAAGGAAAATGAAAAAAAAATCCACATAGGCAAATTAACCGGAAAACTTGTTCTTTACCGGTTGAAGGTCACAATTGACTATTTTCTTTTAGTTCGAGGGTTCAATTGGTTGAATTTAAAGTACAAGGACTTAATTGACTTTTTTGATATAGTAGGAGGACCTATTTGACAGTTTTCCCCAAATTTTAAAAGCTTTTCAAATTTTTTTGAGATGCTACACAGAGTAGCATCTGAGAAAGTCCGTGACTTTTAGTATTAATTAGTCCTAACAGCTTGTATACCAAACAGAACTAAATCAAACAGTCAACTTTTTACCAAACACCTACCACCTTTTCTTTTTAAGATCTTTTCGGTCACTAAAAGCTTCTTTTTAAGATCTTTTCGGTCACTAAAAGCTAGTTACTAAAAAGCTCACAAAAGTATCTTTTCAGCTAGTTGTGCCAAACATACCCTAAGTCAATCTGAAAAACTCGGAAAGAAAAAGAGCTAACCTCTGGAACAATCCTGCTCAAAAATGTCTCGGTGTCATCTCGAACATCTGAGTCATAATTTTCATTGATGGTCAAAGAAGCACTTGTATGTTGCACTGTTGAGTTTCCAACAGCATGATGTCAGTTCGCACTATACAAATAGAAAACCGAACAAAATTCCAAGACAACTAGATAGTTCTGTCTTACAAAATAGATGAGCAAGCCCACATTTGAACCCTGACAGATCTTGCCTTATTTCGTTGATGATCTATAAAAGAGAAACATTCAAGGATATCACCATATGAAGTAGGAAATAGAGGTTAAGAATAAGAAAACACAGAAACTGCATCAGAATAAAAAATAGTTTAAGGAGAAGAGATATAAAGATGAAGTGTAGAAAGTTCATTTTCATTACAACAAAAAAAACATCACCCCAGTGCCGCAAAGGCTCACACCTATGGTGGGGTAAGAGTGGTCGGATGTATGCAGCCTTGCCCCTATACTAAATCACATAGAGACTGTTCTCGGATGACCCGTGAGGCCGTGATGAAAATCGCGTTCAAAAATTGCATTCTTGAAAATAAATTTTAATGCACCAAGTTGGACAATTTAAATACAAACTAAGAGATTCTAAAATTCCAACACTAACAGATCAGTCTCCCGCTTCCACAAATTCTCCACAAGGCTGCCATGTCAACCTTATGGCTTAGTGGTAAAACCCACACAGTTTTTTTTTGTTAGAAACAAAAAACAAGAGCTTTGAATCATTTACTCGTGTGGGTTAGTGATAAAACCTTGTAGAGTTGTAGTATCACAAACCTGCACTTGTTAGGAACAAAAAAAAAAAAGAGGAATATGAATAGATCATGTTTATTAGGTTTTCTTGATAGCCCAAAACTCTAATGGTTTGTTCAGATTTATGTTGGCATTACCAGGCTATAATATCCGTACCACTGTCTATCCGGTATCCACTATATATGCATAGACAGAAAGTAAAATGACCATGTAAACACAATATGCTAATTCAGATAAGCAGTGGCCCCAGAAAACATCAACTTCTTTCCGAATCCCTTCATATTCACTCATTTTCCTTTTAATTGAGTGATATACTTAGCGTCCTAGTGTGTAGTAAATTGTAAAGGAGGCTATTAAACCACCCAGACCACCCCTACAACGGCTACAAGTTTACAACCTCGGACCTCCTCTTCTTTGGATTGTCCACAAGGGTTTGTAAACCATCCAGTATCAACAAGGATAACAAGTGACCTTTCTTACCTTCCACTATAACCCTATGGGGTTAAAGCCATCACTTGTTGTCTAGGTGTTTGCCTATTAGAACCACGGCTGGGGTCACTTTTTCGGATAACAAGTGATCTTGCTTACCTTCCACTATAACCCAATGGGGTGTTCGGACAACAAGGATAACAAGTGACCTTGCTTAGCTTCCACTATAACCCAATGGGGTTCAATCCATTATCCATCACTTGTTGTCTAGGTGTTTAAACGCACAACCGCGCAAAGCCTAACACTCCACGTTTGGACTGCTGTAAGAAACTTACTTGGGGGCGAGAAGAAGAAAGGAACCGAATGGAAAGATGTAATCATGGGAGAGATAACAGAAGCAATAGAGTGATACTGTAATCCGTACCGTAGAGGTAACGAGGTGACAGCCCCGTGTTTGAGGGGGTAGGGTTATGGTTTTCTGAGCCCACTTGGGTTGAGATGCCATGGAAATGGAATGATGACTAGTAGCAGCAGAGAAAGACGAAGACTTGAGGCTAATTTTTGGCCTGCACAGAGAAACGATCCTTATCGGCGGCCTACCAAACCCTGAACTGTGTAGCGCTTGCGCCGTCGATATTCCCAGAGCCGCTGCGGCTGCGTGCATCCTCACATTCCCGATGCTGGTTTGATTTTTTACTAAGGGAGTGTTTGGAGGACCTTGTGCTGAGAGGTGGTTTTTTAACAAATTATTCATTCGTGATAAAAGTTAATAGTATTCGAAAATGAAAATGAAAGTGACTTTAAATAGAATGTAAAAGTTGAACTGTTTGATAAAAAATGATTTTTTATGTAGGATATTGTTAAAATACATATATGCCCTCAAATTATTATAAAGATCTAACCCACTCGATTGCCCCAACTACTGATCTGCTGCCCCTTTTTCTATCTTCCCCGATTTGCTTGTATCATATTTATACATATACACTCACACTTGATATACCCACACTTGAAGAATCGGAAGAGAGGTGATCCACCACCGCCCACCAGCACTTCGGCAACCGGTGAGCCGCCGCCGTCCACCAGCACTCCGGCAACCAAGCTACATTCTACTGCTGACGAGGGCCCAAGCGGATAATCACATCATAGATGGCGGCGGCGGATGGTGCGTCGTCGGCTTCGCAGTTGGTAGCTTCGTAGTGTGAGGCATCCAGCACGATGGTATCTTCATTTGGAGTAATAGTTGAAGGGTATTTTGGGGTTTCAGGGATTTGTCTACCTAATAACTATCCTGAATGTTTGAATTATTTACCAAAATACCAAGAAACTGATAAAAGCAATTAGAAGCACCCATCTCCCAGCTTCTAGCTGTCGGCTTTAAAGTGCTGTTTTAAAAGAAATAGGATTTAACAAACACTTTTTTTTAGCTTTTTTTAAGTTAAAAGCCGAATAGTGTTTATGTTAAGCAAATGAAAACACTCCTTAAGGGTACTAGTTTGAAGGAAAGAGAAAAAGGATCAAATAAATCTTTATTATTTTCGATCTGTCATTTAAGTCCATGTATGTCACTATTTCCATGTCAAAATTATTAACGCCTACGTATGATTTTGTTTAAAAGGAAATGAAAGAAATTTTGTGAAAGACGTATACTTTAATGACTACAATCTAAAATAATATTGTTTTAACAGTATTTTCCACTTTTTTTGATGCACTTGTTTGTACTGTATTTTCCACTATCTCATTCTCTTCATCCCTCTTTATTCATTGCTGTTTTACTCACTTGTAATCATATGAGCTCTTCTGACACCAATATATTCAAATTTCAAATTCAACGAGTATTCTAGAGTAGATCCCATGAAGAGCACAAACTGAACTTTTATTCATTTTTGTTTCTATCAACCAAGAAAAAACTGATTGTGTATTGATTGGATAAGTATGAAATGAATACTCTCTTTGCCCAAACTCCTCCCCTTCACCATCTTGATGCCACAAACGAATACACTTTTTCATTCCTAGCCTCCATAGTCATTAAAATTCCCTCACCACCATGCATGACATGTTTCAGTTTGTCATGAACATTCCTCACAACACCAACATCCTGCCTCTCTTCGCCACCTTGCACATATCTTCCTCTTCTACTAATTTTTGTCGCTACATAGTAACATAGTCATATACCATCGTGCAACCCAGTTACCCAACCCCTATCTCTTCCCTTCTTTCGTGACTTGATACATATTTTCAAGGGTTTTCCCACATTCAACGTTATCCCTCAACCTCAAATACACTTTCCAAGCTCGCCAAAACGGATTCATGTATGTAATTAAGAATAATTCTAACAAATTTATTATCCCTTTTGCCACACTAGTAGTGATAGATGTACTCATGTACAACGAATCTGCTAGTGGTATTATGACAATAACAAATTCTACAACGCCCTTTGCTGCCTTACCAACGTCAAAATCTCCAAGTGGAAAAAGCAACGCATAGATAAGAGAAAGCCTTTTATTTATTTGACAATTGACACAATTTATTGAGACCGGAGACTTCTTAGCACTTTGCTTCAAGTTTCTTATATTGTTTCTGTATGCCTCTAGATTGATCTTAAAATCAATAGATGCAATTTGGTATTGTGGCGTAACTCAGACCCTAAGTTTACTCATTTTCAAGTTGGGCAGAAAAGGAAAGCCACGTCTCATGTATACATGTGAGTTGATTAGGAAAAAAAGACTTGTTCATTTTTATTAACCAAATAAAGTAAAATAACAAACTTTTTTGCATCAAATTGTGTTGATTTGAAAACTGTAATTATTTGTTCAAAATAACGAACAGAACCATGATATATAACCATAAGGTAAGTTTTCCTTTTAATTTTGCACACACAAATTATGCAGAATGAATACATCGGAAAAAATTAGATAGCCGAAATAAATTATTTGAGTTTATTAAGATAACGTTCATGTAGTTTATGTGTAGTAATGGACAGTGGACTTGGCAATCAAAATGCAATTTGTCCTCGGCCAATGTAACAACAGTATGTCTAACTTAACTTATTCTTTACACTTGGTTGCAGTTTGTATATAAGCAGGGGCGGACCGTAGTAAAAACCCAGGGGGGTCACGACCGCCGCAAGGTTTTTTTTAGTATATATGTATACTTGAATAGTTGAATATATATATATATAGGCCCCCGCAAGATGAATTTCCTGGGCCTGCCCTGGTATATAAGAATACAATGTAGCAAACTTAGATACAGATACCACATATAAAATAAGCTCATTTCATACATGCACTAAATAATGTGAAAAACATGGAACGCATCCATGAGAATATTGGTACTTGTGCAATTCACAATATCTCAGAAACATTGATCAATTGATGCTTAGAATTTGTGGAAATACTTTACAGACTTGCAGTTTAGAATACTTCAACAGAATTACGAAAAAATGAAAGAAGTTCAAACAATATCGAGACCCTTACAAAAACAAATATCAATCGATATTGGAATTTTATAATCCGTGTTTATAGCACATTCACGGTTTTGTTACTGTGTGAAACTGTCCTCAAGGTAGATTCACAAAGTTGGCACAATTTACAAAAATATTACGGAGTATTAGTTATCATAGCAGTAACCCTCGCAACTAATCAAAACATGAATAACTTAACCGAGTTAAGATTTGCGAGGGAAAACAAAAGAAAACACAAACGAACAGAGTTTGCAACATGTAGTAAGAACATCATTTGGTAGCCTGTGCAATGATGTTACTTATGGAGCTTGCTTGCTCTTTGGCAGCCTCCACCAAAGAATCCTGCAAGTTGAGAAGGAAGGCTGAAGTTGCAAATGTCTCACACACATACATTACTTATAGCACTAAAACTCCTGAAACTAGCTTTACCTGAGCAGCAATCAGGCGTGCAACAGTTTTTTTGCTCGACTCTTGGAGCTCACCAGCAATCAAAACTTCATCCAGTACATAATACGCCTGCAAATCCAATTTTTGGGAACCAAGTTTTTATGCAAACAAAAAGGTAGATACAAAAAGGTGCACACAATATTTGTTTGATAGTGCTAAGCAGTGTTGTCAATCCCCACGGTTGCTGTAAAGCTAAGCATAGAAACTCTCAGAATAAATCAAATTTAGTGATCATACCTTGTGAAAATTAAATATGAGATCCAGCTCACATACCTAAATAAATAGAAGCTCCCTAAGTATGAAACTCAAAACATAAGATGGCAAACTGAACTGATGGTCTTCTAGGTAAAAAAAAAATCTCACTCACACTTCCAAAGTATCTGTCTAATATCTCAACAAAATGATGAATAATCTCCAATGTCTCCAATTCATTATCATCCTGGTCAATGCACATACAGAAATATAGACTGGCATATCTGTCAAATACAGAACAAAAGAAATTCACTTGTTAATCTAATAACCCCTCTGAGGGGCCTTACTACACAAAAGGGAAGAGAAATAAAACTACCAAATGTACCTTTTATAAACAACTCTGAACCCTTTCCACTCTACAAAATTGCAAAGCTTTGGGCCTCGTGTTAGTATCAAGCCGCTTAGTTCACGAATCACCTTTGAAGAAATTTTCACCCACAGATAATTAAAATATCATAAACCCAATAGAAAATATATTATTGAACTTGAAACATTTTTCTGGCTAACAAACTTGCACATTATCAACATCTGAAAAGAGGAACAAGGCAAGACTCAAATGTACTCATGTCCATGAAAGAAGTTCAAGTGAAAAGGTAATGGGAAAGATCCATTTTGTACATTCCCATGAAACATTCTTATGTTGCCCTGTGCCCACATTCATCAGTCACATGTACAACTTGGCTTTCATCCTAATGTGTTATGTGTACAGTTTAGGACTGTACAAATTTCATATAGCCTATCATTACTCAGGAGGAAAGACCCGCAACCCTACACAAAACTCATACAACCAGATTCCTGGCCCCAAAAATCAATGTGAAACCAATATAGCTACAAAGGATGTCATATACTCGAACCATTCATAATGCCATAAACAACCAGAAATAGATAAATATATCCGTTCAGACCTAGAAAGGTCATCAACAACCAAAGCTATAAAACGATATGAAGAATTACCTTAGTTCTCTCTTTCTGGGAATACGGGGAATACCATTTTGTCAGCCTCACTTTTCCCTGTCGACTAATTAGAAGCACAAAATGGATCTGGAACAACACAAACTTTAATCAATTAGCTTCATTACACAAGAAGCGAACATTGCGATCGACTAAGCTGGAACGGAGAATCATAGATCTGACAGAAAGTTAAGAAAATAAGATCGCAGGGAGGGTGATGGCTTCTTACCATTGTTTAGATCGTTAGACGGGTTAAGAATCTTCCTTTCCGTTGTGATGGCGGTGAAGAGTGCGTTCCTCAGGCGTGCAATTGAGCGCAAAGGTGTGTATGTACTAAGGAGCAGAGCCGAGCATCTGTATGCCTGAGCTTGAGCGTAAGAACTCACGAGCTCTAGCTCGATAGCTTGGACCAATTAAATAATTCAAGTTCGATCTCGAGCCAAGCTCGGCTCGAGCTCCATCCGAGCTTGATTTGAGCTCGGGTCAAATTTCTTTAATTAAATTTTTTAGGTTTGAACTCGAATAAGATGCTGGAATTTGAGCTAAAAATATTATATATGTACTTATTCATTCTCATTTTTAGTTTA